AAATATCATTTCTCAATTATTCAATTGCATCAATAAAAGTGACACTAAAAAGATAATTTTTTGAGATCTTTAAGATTGTTAGATTGGCAGTATTATCCCTAGTGGGAGAGTAGTCCCATCCATCCATTCTAACAACCCCACCCAACCCAATCCACTCCCTCATTGTATCTTAATTCCAAAGAGCATGATGAAAGTAGAGCATATAATAGTGTATAATATGCAATATCAGGCTTTTTTATTTTCTGTAAAAGTAACTAGGAACAAATCAATGAATGATGCAGGAACATGCCGTGCATAAATTGTAGTTCTTAACTTTTTTATTTAACATAATTTATTACGAATTGGAAGCTTAAAAAATTTATGTCACTCCAAAGAAGATATGGAAATTTTTTTATTTTTATTTTTATTTTTATTTTTTAATAGAAATGAACAATATTTCCATCAACAGTGGAGAGATAATTGATTTGCTGGATTTGAAATCGGTTTTTGTTTTATTGACAACATTAATTTTAATATTGTACCTTTGTCTGTTGTATTGTTGTCCAATATTGAATTTTTAAAATTATTTTTGAACTAATAATTAAAATTTAAAATATACATAATTTTATTGTTATATTGGGTCTGATCTTTCCAGATTTAGGGTCTGCTAACGCACATTCAAATCCCGATATAATATTTGTTCATCTTGATGCATAATAAAATGTTTATAAAATCAGTTAAATATTGTAGAGTATTCTAAATTCTTGATATTAGCTTGAAATACATGTTACAGAAGCACAACAATTATTTAAATTATCTGGGTAAACAACATCATCCCGTCTTTAATAAATTAAACTTCTCCTAGTATAATATAATTTATTTATTTATTTATTTGAAAAATCAACCTACTAATAAAGTGTTGAATTTGAATACTTAAAAAAGTAAAATACAAAAGTTGAAAAGAAATACTAGTAAATGTCGGTGCTATATTCATAATTTCGTATTACCATACGTATAATCATTAACTTTATCAAAACTCTTCCTTGGAGTAGGCTGGTGTAAGTTCATAATTAAGGTTAGAAAAATCGCATCACTAGTCTGTATCTCCATTTACATATAACTAAAAAAAATAAAAAAATAAAAAAAAGGTTGAATTCCAACCTTGAGAGCCCCCACTACCCCGCTCCTGGAGTATCGTGGGGGAGGTAAATCGCGAGATGTTCCCCAACAAGTTAGGGAACAAGAGTTTTGCCTGTACACTGGTGCTCACAAAGAGTCTAATTCCATATATCAGGAATCGAACTCTCACACTGTGATTGTCAGTAAGACTGAGAATGCCTCACTCCTATCATTTGCATCATTGAATTATGTCCCGGGGGCGCCATTTACATATAACTATAAGGTCCCGTTTGATTGCACGAAATTTTTCATGGAACTTGGAATTTGAATTCTAACTTCCACTTTTTGCCTGTTTGATTGACAAAATTTTTTAGGGAATTCATTTTCCATGAATTTCTAGATACAACACCTTAAAGCGTGATTTTCCACATTTTATTTTCTTAAGGGTAGGTGGTTTTTGGTTTTCCACATTTTTTTTTATGAGAACAAATTTTAAGAACAATTGTAAAAGATGATATTTCTAAAATTGACAATTTTCATGTAACTATAATAGACGAGTGATGCGATTTCATAGTAATGGAGTGAAGTATTGAAGCAAAGTAACAGACTTAAAAAATCCTAAGAAAAGATTATGGTCTGAATTTGATTTAAATAATGATTTTTTTAGTTTATTTGAGTAAATAATTGAGGTCGGTGGGAGCAGTGAATCCAGTAAACATGGACCATGCATATGTGAGAAAGCAGTCTTTCAACTCCATAATTATAAACAATAGCTGCCCCAGGGCATATCTCCCAGTGGCAAAGGGGAGGATGGATAGGGCTCAGCGCGGCAGTGTGCAGAGTTCGATTCTCCGTAAGGTGGAATTGGCTTTGTTGCAGCGGGAGTTACCATATGGGTTAACAGCCTTGACCTATCCATGTGCTCTCCACCCTGGCTCCTGGGAGGCAAATCCTGCGATTTACCTCCTCCACGATGGCCCAGGGCAGGGTTAGTGGGGGCCCTTAAGGTTGGGTTCAACCTTTAATTATATACAATAGCTAACAACTGTATATGCCAATATAAAATGTATAAATGATAAATTATTATATATGCAAACAAATACATGAAAATTAGCATTACTTAAATGATTATTATAGTTGAAAGGTAGCATCAATGCATAATAAGAATTAATAAAGTTGAATGTATAAAGGCAGTAGGGAATCTTTTGGTGGTAGCCTTTTGCCATTTCTCTTTTGTTTTGTAGCATTACATTCACACTCAAATGCCTACTTTTGGCCCCATTAAACCATTTAGGCTATTTACTGGGGAATTATTGGCGGTTTCAACGACAATTCACTTGTAGAAGAACCTGCTTACATTATTAAGTTAATGTCTATACAGTAGCGGAGTCAAAAATTTCACGACGAGCGACGAACAAACTTCGAAGGAGGAAAACATACATGTATGATGTGTATATATAAAGAAATTTCAAAATGTTGCTTGGCGATCGCGTTCAACAGCCATTGAGATGCTGATGCCGAGCGCATTGAAAATTTTCCTTTTTGATTTTCGGATTTTAAGTTAGAAATGTTGAAGTCCACTCAAGAGATTATTTTATCGAGATTAATTGAAATGTTTTGTCTGTGTAATGTAATGGAAATTTCTCATGAAACATCGTTAGCTTTTTTGCTTGTTTTTTAATCATTAGACTGCCATACTCAATATAATCAAACGGGAAATCATATTAACTTCATGCTCACACAAGGAAGTTGTGAGAAAAGCTTTATGGATGCACAATAATGAACAAGGCCTAATAACATCACATCCCAACAAAAAGGGACCACAAGTACAACTTAATTTATTTGCTTATAATGCAACCAAATTTAATTATAATCAAGTACTGCGTCCTTCACCGCACTAACTTCTGTTTAAATGTCACCCACAAGTAGTTCGAACAGTCAATAAGTCTCCTTTCTATTTTTCCTTTTTTGCTGGCAATTTGATTTTTGAAAATGTACATATTTTCAAGAAACATGGAATCAGTTTACAAGTGAAAAAATATGGTAAATCTGCATTAGAAGAATCTCCTGTATGTTTCAATGCAAGAAATCAAGCTAAAAGTGATAAAAAAAAAAAAAAAAAAAAGCAGTACTTTCAATACAAGAAGAAAAGCAGGATCTTAGTGTATCTGATTGTCCTTGAGAGCTTTTTCCTTTTTACCCTTTTCTTTTTCAAAATGTTAGCCCAAGATAAGTGAGGGTAACTTCAAAGTTTTACAGAGACAACTTTGTGGTGCCCTCCTTTGGCCATGGAGATCCAGACCTCATGTTACTTTTGTTAGTATATTAGCAACTTTAAGTATAGTCTAGCAAAAATTAAAACATGTCTGTTCTTTTTGTGGATATTCATGATTCTATTCATTGAAATGTTGCAAATTCGAAAAGAACAGACAGTAAATACGTACAGAAAAATCAGAAGGTAGTTCTAGCCGAAAAAGGGATCAAAATTGTAAATGAAGGATGATCATAAATGTGCAAAACACCACATGAAAAGAAGCACTACGAATCCCATTTGCAAGGTTAACAAGAAATTGCAAATATAGGCATACTTTTTCATATCTGAATCCCAAAGATGAAGGGAGTGGTTAATAAATAGGTAACAGCTGTGAATGTGTAATTGACATTAATGTTTGATTGAATAGAAAAAGTAACTTTTAATGTTCGACAAACAGAGATGAAGTCTATGGACTAAAAAATTTTGGCTGCAAAAGGAAATAGTCAAAAGTGCAAAATAGAAAGACACAAAGCTTCATTTCTTTACTTTCATATGAGCCTGGCTACATTTATCTTATTCTACTATTCAAAAGTGCGGCAAGTGACTTTCTCAAACCTGCAAACTTAACGCAACATTTCGAGTACTTCCACAGCAAGATTGTGCCATTCTTACCCTTGTAGTAAACCTGAAATCAAACATAAGCTAGATGTCATCTCTAAAACCATCTCCCTTACCCTCTTTCCCATATGTAACATGGTGGGGTTAATGAATCCAAGGGTAAATATAAGAATGCAGATTCAAGGAACTGAAAAGAAATGCACCATTAATCGTGCAAGAAATGCTATCTGAAAAACCATTGAGATGTAGAGAAGTACACAAGCTTATGGTCGATAAATATTAGTAGAAAATACAAGTGCTATGAAAAGTTTAATCAATGGAAAAAGAATTCTCAAATAGGAATTGACTATATAAAAAATATAACTGTAGGCGCTGAATGCTTATACAGTTTATATGTATTATCAATTACGAAACATGACATACAACTGTCCATTAATCTAATAGCTTGATCCATAGACAGGAAGATAAAGAAAACAGCAAGAAAAGACTACTTGGTGGAGCCCAAGGTACAAAAACTTTGGGGAAATTCAGAGTTCATATAACCTCCACAAGGAAAGTAGAAGACTGAATCAATGCATGCATTTGATTAGTTAACCAAAGAAGAAGCTTTAAGCATACTCTAGCAGCAACATCCTAAACATGACGGCCAGTTAGATTAGGGAAGCCCTGCTTCAAGTCACTTGCCTGTGACCAGTTAGATTAGGGAAGCCCTGCTTCAAGTCACTTGCCTGTGACCGACATGGTAACAGTCCCATCCTCCCTCTGGTTCTTTCCTTTTCATCAGCTTTGTGCACCACGCTTCTTGATTGACAGATTGATCATTTTCATCCACTGATGAATTTTTGGCAGTCAATGTTAATTCCCCGGCTTTATCCCTCTTGCTTACGCTTGTTGATGAGTTGTTCTCACTTTTGACATCAATTCTGTGTATAGAACTTGTAATGTCAACACGGCTTTGTCCATGAGCAACCTCTACAAGACGTGGGATCCCAAGAGAGACAGGAACAGTTTCAGGCTTCAACAATTGAGGATCTCTCACAGAGGGTATTGTGCCAGGGTAATGCATATTGAACATAAAGGGCTTCATAGGGGCAATGTATAATGGACCATGAGAAGGGTAATTCTGGAGTGGTAACATATGTAATGGGTATGGTAACTTTGGTTGCAGTGGAGAAACTCTGTGCATCTCCTCAAATTGTTTTAGGACATTTGGTGCAGCCATCATTTGTGAATGGGAATGAGAATAATTGAAAACATTCACAGAACTCAAATCAGGCAAGTAAGTGGGTGTAAAATTAACATCGTGTTCTCTGGAATTCACAGAAAACAATGCCTTGTTTTCCAAGGGTTGGCTAGCTTGCCCTTGCCAGTCAACATTATTGCATGCATATCCAGCCGATGTATTAGCATTCAAGTCCAAATCTGCCAAACAGCGATTTTTTGATTCAGCTGGAAGAGAGAATTGAGGGGACTCGACCACATCATCACAAAGGCAATTGAGATCAATATTGAGCTTCTTGGCTCGTCTGGAACCAACTTTTGAGCAAGAGTCTTGAAAAGGGGATGCTGAAGATATCCACACATCCTCTGCTTGAAATCCAATCTCAGGAATATCTTCTACAGCAGCAACATTGAGGTCAATCCCTGTAAGATTCCTAGAAAATGGGTTCTTATCGAAACTGTTTAAAAGAAAAGCAGGACGGAAAGCACTAGTTGCAGCAGAACCCTTCCAACCTAACCCACCTTCAAACTTCAATGGGATCAAAGGTCTACCTCTAGGAACCCCAGCTTTTGCTACAACATGTATAACATTATGAGAAGATACAGTTTCAACAACAGACTGCTCACCATCATCTAACTCATTTGTGTTGATATCTTCATTGAGATCAAATACAATAACAGATTTACTCTGATCCCTGGCAAAAACTTTCGTAGGTTTTGTCATTAAAAACGCAGTTGATTTGTGCGACAGAAAGCCATCATTAATATTATCAGTCACTTTAGGATCCATCTTGACTGATTCACCTTTCATAGACATCATATTTTCACTTTCGCCTGATATTTTAGTACTCAAACCGAAAGTAATATGGTTATCATTTGCGTCTGATGATCTTATGTGTTCTTCCATTTCAGTTGAGCAGTTGAAATTTTTTGAATTGCCAGAGCAGGTTAAACTTTTACCAACAGTAACATCACGTTTTTCTTCATCAGAAGAGGCGCATCCTGAGACCCATCTGTAAATAAGAGTCTCTTCGTCAACATCTCTTGCACCATCCCTAGGTGTCCTCACTGCAGAACCCCACTCAGGATTATCTTCATCTGGCCTTGAAATATTTCTATTCTCCTGATTCTGTGGACCGTATAATGGAATATTTGCCTTCATACTATGAAATGACATACTATCCTTAATCATCAAAGGTGCCTTCGTGCTATTCCTGGCTCTTCCCTTGAGAAAAGCCTTATGATCAATTTGAGCAGACATACCTGATTCTGAACTGGCTGTCACAGGCTCTTCCATTCTATGGTGAAACCCTGTAGAGTTGGAGCTGCTCACAGAACCACTGTGGTTATTGAATGAGCTGGCTCTTTTCAAAGTTTCCTGTTGGCTGTGATTAACCGGAAGGATGCCAGACGATGAGTCAGAACACGAAGATTCAGTCTTGTTCTGTTTAACATGCATGATCAAATTGAAGCCATCTTCAACAGCATTCAGATGACTCACCTGTTTTTTCCCAACATCCATTATGTAATTTTCATTGCTGAGAGGTAATCCATTCTCCATGCTGATATCACTCTTCACTGATATAGGCCGTGCTAAAGTGACTTTGTCTGATGATTGTGTAGAAATTTCACAACATTTTGATGATACTTGTTCATAGCCAGTAGATGCTGACTCAAAAGTTTGTTCAGCAGAAGTTATTGATGTTGAGATAACAGAAGATCGAGGTATCATGCTGCCAGCACTATCTCCATTTGTGCCAATGACAGAAACAGCATCATGGTTTGGGCACTTCTCATTCCTGGGCAATAAATTAGCTTCACAACTGCTGATCTTTTGGCCAGCCATGTGTCTCAGCTTCTCAAAATCAAACTTGTGTCTAACTTTTGATAAATACGTCACAAGCAAGTATAGTTCCCAAGATTATCTATTTTCACAAGAACACAACTGACTGCCGAAGCCAGCTATTTTCATATGATGCTGCAGAACATGAACATATAGTGGTGCACTAGACTTTTCTAAAGACTATCAATTGTGTAGAATCACCTCACATTCCTTCAGATACGCCTGATTTAAAACAGAAGTCATTTGTTATCTTCTATTTCTTGGAAATGTAGAAATCATAAGTGTAATTCCTGCACAACTAATATTGACAGTAGTTAAAACTTCTCAGAAGCAGACTTTTCTAACTTTTTCCTACACAGCTACATTGGCATATATGTTCTCATAAAGTTTTGCAGCATTCGAGAAGGTTAGAGCAATTTGCTATACTGAATAAACAGAGTGTGGGAGCGAATCAGAATAATCAGAGCACAGTATGTATCATAATATAAAGTTAACAAAGTACCAGATTATGCAACGGGCAACTGAGTAAAACTTTTCTCGATTCCACCTTAATGAAGAAGCAATTCCCTTTTACTAGGCAACAAGATTAAGCATCAATTCGGGCAAGTAGACATAATTTTCTAACCAAGTCGCAAACCTCTGGCCATCAGGATCAATTTTCTAAAGCCCAGAGACAAAAAGAAAAGATAGCATATGAATGACAAAGTCCCAAGAATATCAATTCAAAAAAAATGACAATAGTCAAATTCTTTAGAACAGAAACATTCAATAGAGATTAAAAAAATAAAAATAAAAATGGTGCAAATTGCTAATAGAACAGGGTGGGTCTACAAGAAAGGACTACAATGATTTGAAGCAACCTGGAAAAATCCAAGCACAATGGGAAACACACAAACGAAAACTTGAAATCACACGGGGTCAGATACATAAATAGTGAAAATACTGCCAATTTATACAAATCGAAAATTCTCAAACTTCAGAAACCCAAATGGAAAAAACTTTATAAATTTGAAAAATCATGTTCCAATACACTTTTAGCTTCATGTATTCCAGACAAAAAAAAAAGGAAAAAGAAAAAGAAAAATGAGATCTTTTAAAGGGATAACATTAAATTATGAAGAAGAAAAGCAAATTACCTGAGCAGTGCAAATAGCAGAGATCATTAGAGATTGCAAATCTTGAATTAATGGTTTCAAATCTCAATTTTCAACACAAATAAATTTCAATACCCAAAATCCCAGATGAAAGATAAGAAGAAATGGGGTGCCGGTTCCATTTTTTTTCTTCTTGTTGGCTGGAATGGGAAAAGTTACCCCTTTTTCCAAATGGTTTTCTCTCTCCACTATGAAAAATCCCACCAACTGAAGCTGACAGAAAGAGAAAAATACGTTTAAACAATCACACTGTCATAGACAGATACACAAATTCATATGCCTAAAACAGTGTAAACATTGTATTAGTGAAAAGCAATTGGAAATTGTTTTGGTGTATCGAGAAAGCGATGTGCAGCCCAGCTAGATGATGACAGTGTGTGCGCGTCAGAATCGAAGTGTTGGCTGAAGGGATGAACGGTGGGCCCAGATAGTCTGACAGAAAGTGGGATCCGCAGTGCAATAAGGCGGTAGAGAGAGGGGTCCACATAACAAGGCCATAGGATTCATCAGCAACAATGTTGTGGTCCTCGTAGTTGCAGATGGCACTTCCGTCACTAACTAAGAACATGTTTCGTAGAGATTTTAGTCTCTGTTTGATTTTTATTCTTGTCAAATTTTAATGGTCGAAATAATATTTTTTTGAAAGTGTGCTGTTGAAAAAAAATTAAAAATTTTCAATTTACGTGTAATATTATTTTATGAAAGAATGTATGCTTATAAATAAAAGAGAAAAAGAATGAGAAAGAGAATGGAGGCCAAACGAGGGCTTAATTCAATTAATATTAATTTTTGATAGCTATTTCACTATTCTAACTGTCATTTTTGAATTCTCCTTTCACAAATGATACATACTTTATCTCTAATGGTTAAAAAATCAATTAACAAAATCATTACCAAACAAACACTAAGCGTTTGGATAAAATTTCTACTACTAAGTTGTTGGTATTAGACTATCGGCGTAAGAGGTCCCTTTTCTTGTTTTCAAAAGAGAAGTCCCTTCTTTGAGTCGATATTGAAACGGCTAGGCAAGTGTATAATTTAAAGATATACTTGAAAACAAAGATAGACCCAAAGGGGGGGAACTTGGTGTGAATTTTCAAGTTTGATTCTGCCTTCCCTAAAATTGCCCAATGGTGGACTAAAAATAGCTTTATGAATTGTAGGTCCCTACCTTATTTCTACTTAATCTGTTACGAAAGTACCTTTAAAAGAAAGGATCCTTTCCTCTTCCCATCGTAGAGTTGATTGCACCTCCATCATGATTCATGAACTACTAATGCTTAGTGGTAAGAATTCCCCATAAACTCCGTCTCTCAATATAGCATCACAAATTGAAAAAAATAAATAATAAATAAAAAGAAAATAAAAAGAAAAAAGAAGAAGAAAGAAAGCAATATGGTCCTTCACATATGAACCACCATGGCACCATCTTGCAAATGTTGTTAAAGACAAAAATTGTCACATTTCTGCAATATGTCAACATATCAGAACATTCACCTTTCGTTTTCCATTTCCCTTTTTCCTGTCAATTCAATTTTCATTTTGCCAAACATTGCCCCTCTTTGACTATGACTTGTGTAGGATCATTGAATAAATACTACAAAATTTAACGTTTACTGGGGTCAATTGCATGTGCCTCTGTACATGAGACAAGGACTTGTATGTATTAAATTTTCATTCGAGTGAAATATCCAAATATATGAATAGATTTATGATTCACTCGGTCTCAAGCAAACCATAAATTCTTTTTATAAAAATGACTAATGCGATTCATTATCATCGATCACTAAAAATAAACATTTCTTAATCCTAGCACTTGATTAGATTCAGCAGACGAGACATGAACTCTTTTTTATTATTCCTGTTTCGCGCGGGTAGTCGCTAACAATTAAAAAGGGATCAGACGATTGTGTAAGGAACAAATCTCTTGAAACAAAGTTCTCAAAAAGAGGTGTTTTATTGGCGATGACTTTACAAGTGGAACTAAACAGAATGCCTTCAAGGGGCGCAAGCACACGAGTACTGAAAAGAAATGTTTAAGTCTAAACTAAGAAATTGAAATTACATATTCTCTGTTTGAGAGTGTTTGATTCGGGGTCCTTTGCTCTATCTCTTTTCTTCCTTTTATATTCCCTTGATGATCTCTTCGTGATCAACCGCTTAGAAACTGCTTAATTGCTTTATAATTGCCCACTTTCTTCATGGTGGCCAACTTATCGTGGAACTGCCGTCTCTAACGGCTGCCACTACTCTTTGTCGTTCAACCGAACTCCTTAAATCGTGGACCGTGACAAGATTACTCAATAACTGCTTCGATAACTGCACTTTTGGATAACCATAACATCTTATGTTTGCTAAGATCCTGGGCGATTCGAAGGTTTGGGCGAGAATGGGGTCATAACTCTGGCGCGACTGCAAGGCACTTCATTCGCTCAGATCTTGAACGTCTTGCAAGTTTGGGCGATGGTATTACCGCGTTCGTAGGCTTCCACTGCATTCATTAATAACCTTATTTGGGCCTTTATCCTGAATTGCCCGGTTGGTCTTCATTCTTTGGGCTATTCGATTTGAGCTGCACTTTTAGCGTGTCAACAATTACCCCCCAATATGGCAGAATTAATACCGATTATTAATTTTTGCCATATTCACTTTGTGTTTCCCAACAATATTTGAAATTCCCAAGAATTTCAATCATTATTTTCTTTTATAGCCTGAAAATGCACGACATTGCAAACCCTTATAACCCCTAAATACACGTCATTTCATCGCATCACTAAATCACGCCTCATTGGTTCGCGCTTCTCTCTCGCAATATTACTGTTCATCTTCTTGCTTCTCTGCTACGTTTCTCAAGCAAACTTCAACAAAACTTTATTTCGTTCCCAATGGCTGCTTCACAAACCCAATCTGGTGACTCTTTCAATTTCGAAGACTTCCAGAAAATCCTCACTTGACCATATATAACTCCGAACTTCCTTGCACCAGCCAATGCCGAACTCAATGAGTTCTATCTAGGTCCTTCATTCAACAATGCCGAGGCCGTCGAACAAGTAGCGGTGGGCCAGCTGTTCCCTTGTACTCAAGGCCCTCTGTTTCTGAATTCTTTGCCGCTGAGGTCGCTTCGTGAAAGAAAATCTGATATTATTTTTCGTAGATGGCATGCTCGCCTTGTGGGCCATGGTCCTACCAAGACAATTTTTGATAGTGCTAGGATTTCTGATTTGTTAGAAATCTCTCTTCAACCCCCTTTTTTGATCCAGCACTTTTCCCTATTGCTTTAAATTTTTGGTCATCCGAGTATAATACTTTTGTTTTCCCTCTTGGTCCCATGTCCATTACTTTAAGGGATGTTGGGGCCCTAGTAAATCTGCCACCTTTGGGCGATACCATTTTTCCTGGTATTTTGATTTCTGGTGTCGCCCCAAAATTTGACAGAAAACTCACTGAGTCCTATTCAAGCCTGTAAAGCTGTTATAATCACTCGAGAACTGAGCCTTCCCATGCTGAGCGTGTGACCTTTCTTCAAATTTGGCTTTATAAATATATTTTGTGTGCGCCAAGCATGAAGCCTTCTATGAACTATTTACCCATAACGCACGAATTGGCGCATGGTAGGCCTCTGAATTTGTGTTCTTTCTTTTTGGCTGCCCTCTATAGAGGCATGGCTTCTCTTCAATTCCAATTGAAGAATGGTGCATCTCCCACCGGCAGTGGGCCTCTTTAGTTCACTCAAATGTGGTTGAGAGCCTATTTTCCATCACTTGGTGCTCTATCCTTGTCCTTTCATTCTGCTAGCTGCTATGGGCTAGCTATTGACCCACTGAGCCCTGTAAATATGTCCAGAAGGGACATCTTTTCATTCTTTTATACTTTGAATTCAATTCCTTCTTTCTTTCCTTTTTCTCCCCCTTTAACTCCAGATTATGTGCAACCCCCATCTACCCTGGACAGTGCGAGCACCTCTCTGCTCATTTGGGTTCAATTTTTGACCAGGAGGGAGTTGTTCCATGATATTTTGACCGGAACCAATGCCAAAGCTGGGGTTGAAATATATGCTCCCCAATTTTTTGCTCATCAACTTGGTTTTGGCCAAACTTGGCCTGTTCCCCCTTGTTATTCAAGAAATTTGATAGATCGCTTCCACACCATTAATAAGGCAGAGACAGAAGCTATAGATGCTCGCAATATTCTTTTGACAAGTAACTTTTCATTAGCCCCTTTCAATCCTAGCTATGCCATCCATCTCCTTTTTGAACAACTCTGGCCATCAGTGAAGTGCAGATTGTTTGCAACTGATGCCAATCATACTTTCTATTCAATGGATCAGCCAAAAATTTCTTCCACTTCTCCTGTTTTGGTCACCCCAGTGTCCATTAGGAGTCCTTCCTCTCCTGCTTGTGCTAAACAGTCTGTTCGTCCATCTACTTCTCTTCCTACCAAGCCCACTGCAGCTAAGAGTGCCCCAAATCGCAAACGGCCAACCTCAGCATCTCCCATTTTGGAGGATGATGATGACACTCCTCTCATCGTCAGGAGAAAGGTAATTAAATTAGTTTACTCACAAACATACCTTTCTATACTTGAAACTTTTCTATGTGCTGATGGTTTATCTGGATTTTTCAGAAAAGTTCAGCCTCTCCTTTGAAGGCTTTGGTGTTGGCAGCTCCTGCTCCATCATCCTCTGCTGAGGCTGCTTCATCCAAACCAGCTAATGAAGGGACTACGCTTAAAGAGAAACCTTCAGTCCCGGAATCATCATCACAATCAATAAATGAGCCACCTTCTTCCTAGGGCGTCAACCCCCCAAATGTCGAACCAGAAGGTAATACATTTTTTGATGTTTTACCTTTGCTTGTGCTATTGATTTTTGATTTGTTGCTTTTTGAGTTCTGCAGATGCTCCCATAGGTTTGCCCATTGTGACAAAGTCTTCTTGCTCAAACAAGGGGAAGTCCTCACAAGTGATGGAGCCACAGGTGGTAGATTTGGCTGGGGATATGCCACCTTCCAAGATTGCTGATGAGGTAATCTTTGCTTCACTTTTACTTCCACTTTATTTATTGTAGTGAAAACCTTTAATGTTGGCAATTTTCTTTGCAGGATGCTGATAAGATTGTGTGTTCCATCCAGGACTTGTTCACTTCCTGGGGGCAAGTCAAGACATCTCGCCCTGCTTCAACCGGTCGTCCTTCTGCTTCTTCAGAGGAAGATATGAAATTCCTCAAGCAGTCGATATTTGAGTATGTGTCCTTTATGGATATGGACATCGGTCAGGCTAGTGCTGCCAAACATAAGGATAAGCTTGAGCATTTGAGTGCGAAGTTGGTGCAAGCACTGACACTTCCGTCACTCAATCTTTCTGTT